GTGCTGTCTATTTCTTCTGATCATCCTTGAGATGGTTCTACACCTTCATTTGAGTCCGGCTGTGTTTGATTATACTGATTGGACTTGATTTGGAAAGCCACACACCTGTCTATATAAGACCTTACTGCTCACAGTGCATGTCAGAGCAAATGAGAATTATGAGGTCAAAGGAACTGCCTGAAGAGCTCAGAGACAGAATTGTGGCAAGGCACAGATCTGGCCAAGGTTACAAAAAAATTTCTGCTGCACTTAAGGTTCCCAAGAGCACAGTGGCCTCCATTCCTTAAATGGAAGACGTTTGGGATGATCAGAACCCTTCCTAGAGCTGGCCGTCCGGCCAAACTGAGCTATCGGGGGCGAAGAGCCTTGGTGAGAGAGGTAAAGAAGAACCCAAAGATCACTGTGGCTGAGCTCCAGAGATGCAGTTGGGAGATGGGAGAAAGTTGTAGAAAGTCAACCATCACTGCAGCCCTCCACCAGTCGGGGCTTTATGGCAGAGTGGCCCGACGGAAGCCTCTCCTCAGTGCAAGACACATGAAAGCCCGCATGGAGTTTGCTAAAAAACACCTGAATAAGATTCTCTGGTCTGATGAGACCAAGATATAACTTTTTGGCCTTAATTCTAAGCGGTATGTGTGGAGAAAACCAGGCACTGCTCATCACCTGTCCAATACAGTCCCAACAGTGAAGCATGGTGGTGGCGGCATCATGCTGTGGGGGTGTTTTTCAGCTGCAGGGACAGGACGACTGGTTGCAATCGAGGGAAAGATGAATGTGGCCAAGTACAGGGATATCCTGGACGAAAACCTTCTCGAGTGCTCAGGACCTCAGACTGGGCCGAAGGTTTATCTTCCAACAAGACAATGACCCTAAGCACACCGCTAAAATAACGAAGGAGTGGCTTCGCAACAACTCTGTGACTGTTCTTGAATGGCCCAGCCAGAGCCCTGACTTAAACCCAATTGAGCATCTCTGGAGAGACCTAAAAATGGCTGTCCACCAACGTTTACCATCCAACCTGACAGAACTGGAGAGGCTCTGCAAGGAGGAATGGCAGAGGATCCCTAAATCCAGGTGTGAAAAACTTGTTGCCTCTTTCCCAAAAAGACTCATGGCTGTATTCGATCAAAAGGGTGCTTCTACTAAATACTGAGCAAAGGGTCTGAATACTTAGGACCATGTGTTATTTCAGTTTTTCTTTTTTAATAAATCTGCAAAAATGTCAACAATTCTGTGTTTTTCTGTCAATATGGGGTGCTGTGTGTACATTAATGAGGAAAAAAAATTAACTTAAATGATTTTAGCAAATGGCTGCAATATAACAAAGAGTGAAAAATTTAAGGGGGTCTGAATACTTTCCGTACCCACTGTATATGTCATATTTTTTATGTATTTATAATATTTATAAATATATTTTTTCCACATCAGTTACATATTTTCATTTGAATGTTAATAAATATATTTTTCATTACTAACATAAATATATTTATATATTTTTTTACATTACAGTAAAATGTAATATTTTCATAATTATATTTTGCATAGTTTCTCTATGTACATCATTTTGTTTTCATTTAGATTTTGGGATGCGATATGATGGTGTTTTCACTAGTACATTTCACAAATAATAATTACAAAGGAACGGCAAGTAATTGAACACATTATAACAAACAAATTTTGAGTAAGAGTTCTTCTGTTAACGAGACGTTTCCTCATTAGTGCTTATTCTCTCTCTCTCTCTCTCTCTCTGTTCTCTGCAGGTTTATGTCGTTTCCCAGCAGTCCGTTCTAAACGCTGTTTTTTCGACGCACATTTCTGCGGTGATGATGAACTCAAACGCAGTGCCAGGACTGACTTTACTCGAGAATGCTGTTAAAGAGTGGAGACGCTTCCCACAATCCTCCTCCGTGGCTGAGGATCATCCATTCTGTTTCTCTGGCGCTCTCGGATCGGACCCGACCTTCCATTTAGTTTTAAACCTTCGTCTTTTAATTTACAGTCATTACCTGCAGTTAAAGATGCAGATGGTTTGATGTAAAGAATGACACAGAGATCAGTTACTGTAGAGAAATATGCTGCAGATGATGATGTTAAAACTAAACTGCATGCTGTGATCTGGACGGAGCGTTTGGACGTCTGGGTTCATTTTCCCCATTTGGTTTGTTTTTCCCGTTAAATATTTTTTAAGTATTATTTATATAAAACACATCCCAACTGAAGCTGAGCTCGTGGTCTTTATTTGCATGCGTTTCGATGGAAAAAGGGCTTTCACTGCGAGAAACACCTGCGGAGTCGAATGTATGGACTTTTATTTTTTTCATGAAAAAAAAAAAGTAATTTCTACATTTTATCTCACAATTTGAACATTGTTTCTCTCAGAATTGCAAAGAAAATTCTCTTAGTTGAGTTTACATCTTGCAGAATTTCCGCAACAAAATTAAAAAGGTAGTTTCGACTTTTTATCTCACTATTCTTACTTTTTTCTCGCGATTGCGAGTTAACATCTCGTTATTCTGACTTTTTCTTAGTTCTGTTTTTCTTACAATTCTGAATTGATATCTTTGAATCCAGTTTTTTTCCCCCTTTAAATTCTGAGTTTTATCTCACAAATCTCACAAAAAAAAGTTTTTTCCTCACGATTTTGAGTTTGTCCCGCAGTTCTGACTTTCTTTTTCCCCTCACAATTCTGTCGGAGTTTTCACTTTTTTCTCCAAACTTCAAGAAAAAAAATCTGAATTGTGAGAGAAGAAAGTCGCAAATATTATATTGTGTTTTAATAATTATGAAAAGATGCAATGCATTACAATTACGTTATGAATACCTTTATGTTGTATTATACATAGACATGTTACCCAAGGTTCTGTCACCATCATGTGGTTTCAAATGCACTTTTTCATCTGTGCAACTCAAAGGAGATGTTGCTGGCCGAGGCTTTTTGTGACCTTTTAGGATGCTTTTTGTAATTTTTGGAGAGCAGCGTGAACGTTCTGTTAAACATCTCCATTTGTGCTCTACATGAAGCAGCATGAGAGTGAGCAGCTGATGCAGAAGTGTCCTGTTTCACTGAAGTATCGGTCATCAGTGTTTCTCTTAAAAGTAATGCATTACAGTATTGCTTTAAAAGTTACTTTTTATGGAGAGTAATGCATTGTTACTTTGTCACCTGAGCTGGGCCTGTTTGTTTTTTTTAATAACAAGAAAGCCTAAAAGTCATATTTGTGGCAACTGTAAAGGCCCTTTCACAGCAAAAGTGAACTGAATAATCCTCCGTCTGAAGGAAGAGCGTCTCTGTCTCTGCACTCGCTCCTGGTTTCTCAGTCGATACATGGCCGTGTTTGAAGTCGTTGTGTAAAAGCTGGTAAACTCGCATCTATTCCATTATGTGGAATCGATTATTCCTGGTTTTATTAATATTGTCTCTGCACTCGCTCCTGGTTTCTCAGTCGATACATGGCCGTGTTTGAAGTCGTTGTGTAAAAGCTGGTAAACTCGCATCTATTCCATTATGTGGAATCGATTATTCCTGGTTTTATTAAT